TTTTTTTCGTAATTTTTATATTTGTACTTTTTGTTTATTTTTTTGTTATTTTTATTTATTTTTTGTAATTTTTATTTTATTTAGTAATTTTTATTTTATTTAGTAATTTTTATTTTTTTTGTAATTTTTATTTTTTTTGTAATTTTTATTTATTTTTTTGTAACTTGTATTTTTTTGCAATTTCTATTTTTTTGCAATTTATTTTTAATAAATTAAATTTTTATTTTTTGTTGTAACTTTTTTCTATGACAAAAGACGATTTCTGACCATTTCCCCAATCTGAAATTTCCTGCTGCCGCTGGGAATGCTGCTGAAGTAAATGAGTGGTTATTGCTGCCCATGATATATGTACTTACCTATTATGAAAAATATGTGCATATGTATGTAAATGTTTATGTATTTGTTTTGGTCAATTACAAACATCTGTATGTACATATGCACAGCGGTAATGCAATAATGAAACGAGGAAACGCTTGAGTAATTCACACGTGATTACATTACCTAAGTGAAAAATGGTTTGCGACTCAAAAACCAAATGATCCATGCGACCAGACCAGAATCGTCTTACGTACTAAGAACATATGATGGTCGTATGCAATTACATAACTACATTTGTATTATTGTGCCTTGCTGCAAGTGTGAAAATGTGGCCAGGAGCAATAGCTAGTCCAGCAAGGACAGGAAGTGCTTTGTAAGATTTTATTTATTTTGTTTCGTAATTCTACTTGCAAATTGCTCGCATTTCAATGAAAATGATGTTGAATTTTCTTTTGTCCGCCTTTGTTGTTGCGGTGTTAATCGTTGCATTGTTTATTTATTTACAAATACATATGTACATACAATGTACTTGCACTTGCAGCATGTTAATTTACGGATATTTGCAAGTCAAATTGAATGTCGGACACTTCCTTTCCACTAAATTAATTTCTCTTTGTTTCAATTTAAATGTGCAAATTTTTAAAGCAATTTCTGAAGAAAATGTATTACTAAAAATATTAAATTAAAATATTTAGTTTCCTAAAGTTAGCTAGAATTCCTTCAACTGTGATATATGTAAATGCTTACTGTCTCTCAAAAACCAGCGAATTTCTGTCAAGCGAGAAAGCAGATACGTAAATACATAAAATAATAAACCGAGTTGGGTAAATGGAACCAAAATATTAAGTTTATTTGAACTTGCTGCATTCGCAAAACGTAATAGACAAAGACTACCATACAGCTTCGAAGCAAATACTGCATATACTCTCCGCAGCAATACCAACGACTCGCTAAAACGTTGCTAATGACTGTCAGTTTTGAAGTATACAAATACTTTTATCTGCTGACTGAGATTTAGCGGCGAGTAACAGGCCGAAGTCATAGCTTTTACTAGTTGCTATATGGCTCGTATATTTACGCTTTAATCGAGGGCGAGCATTCTCCTTATTATATGGTTTGGACCGGGATTAAAAAGCTTCACCACAGGCATCTCCTCTCGCCTGTTGTTCAAATTCAGTTTCGACAGGTCCTTATGCACTTAGTCCATCCATTGTGCTCGTTAGCGTCCTTACTTCGTTGTTAAGACATGGGTGCCGAGTCGAAGGAGCTTTGAACCGGGGCAACATGAGGCATGTGTACGTGTCCAAGCCAGGGCAGTCGTTGCATTTTTTTTGTGTTTAATTAGATAAAGATTTTGCGGAAGACTTACGGGCCTTTACGCGTTGGCGATGGTGGTTACCGCAGACAACGGAACAATGAGCTGTATGAGCTTTACAACGGCATGGGCAGCGTATTAAAATAAAGCGGCTCCGCCGGCTTGGCCATGTCGTTCGAATGGACTCCGCCGCTCTAGCTCAGAAAGTATTCGACTCGAACGCCCGTTGGTGGTAGCAGCGATGGAACGTTCAAGTGGTGAAAGACTTGACTTCCCTTGGAACAGAAGAGAAACGATTGGCACCAAACAATTGGAAGAAGAATTATGTAAATGTGCAGAAAAAGGCTATAGATATTGTGCAGATTTTTCTATAACATGGGCTCTGCCTACCGAGCCCAAAGTAACACCTAGTGGCAAGGGTTATTTTTCACTTCATCTCCCGCCATACATAATTTTTGATGTTAATGCTGGTGCAGACTCTTGCTTTGTTGCCAGGCGATGCTTTACCTTGTTTTCGTTCACAGATAGACTAACGTCTTTTGTTGCTTTTCTAGGTTGGAATATACTACGCTTAAGGTCGTGGTTTTTATGCCAACCGATGTCAATGCAATCTGCACATACAAGCAGCGTCGTGCTTTTGGTATATATGTATTTAGAGGTGCCACTGAAGTCGCACGAAAGTTAGTCGGCCTGTCTGAAAACCTCAGTTGGTCTGGAACGGCGCGAAGAGGTCCTTCCCAATTTGGACGGAACAAAAAGTTGTGCTCAATGTCACTCTACATAGTTTTAGACATGGCGTCGTAGAGGCAGTTTCTCTTCATGATTCACAGATGTTTTGTGGAACGGTTTTTCGTCATCCCTTGTCAAATTTGGTTTGGAGACAAAACCAACGAATTAAGGGTCGGCGTTGTGCCATCTTCAGCATCAATTTTCGTTCTGAATATTTTCTATCTGTTCGTTAATATTTATAGTCGTGTTATTTATTGTTCATCGTTTTCTTAACCGAAGTAAGGTACGCCTTAGCGAACCCAATTTTTATCTTCGTAGTTTTTGTATTCCCAATTTGTGTTTCCTTGTTCATTGTTACTGTGTTACTGGGCTTTTACACTGTTTTGTATATAGTGGTTTGAGAGACTCGATTAAAATACATCAGTGATCGGACTTCTACCACATTGTGGTAGAACTACCACTTTTTTGAGCAGCTACCACTTCTAACACACAAGGTCTGAAGTCTACCACATATTCGCGTTTTGGAGTAGTTTAATTTTTGCTCGACATATTTTTTTATGTTTTTTAATTTTGGGTGCAAAAATTGTCCAACACTAAACACAATATGATAACAAGAATTGGCGATGGGACTTAAACATTTTCACAGATTTAAAAGTGAACAAAGCCGATTGGGAGGATAAAATAAAAAAAAAAACTGTCAAAGAGTAAATCTTCTTAATATTAAA